CTCTGACACCCAGGCTGGAATGCAGAATGCAGTGGCATGATCACAGCTCACTGCAGCCTCGACCTTCCAGCGATCGTCCTGCCTCAGCCTCCCAAGTAGCTGGGACTACAGGCACGTGCTCATTTTGTTCATTTTTTGCAGAGACGAGGTCTCACTGTGTTGCCCAGGCTGGTCTCAAATGCCTCAACTCAAGCCATCCTCACACCTTGGCCTCTCAAAATGTTGGGATTACAGGCGTGAGCAGCAACGGTGCTCAGCAACCATGAGCTTATTGAGGGCAGAAATAGCGCCATCTTTGTCTTCCCACAGATCCCTAGGTATACACATAACTACTCACTTGCAGTCACTGTAGGTCCCCCACACAGGGGCAGACAGCAACAGCCCTGTGGCAGCCCTCGCCCAGGCCCTGCCCATCTCAGGTGTTTGGGAGTGGAGATGGAAAAGAGAGGGTCCAGAGAACATCAGGGGGAGCCAGAGCAGAGCGAGGTGCAGGGCAGCCCAGCTGGACACCGGGCTGGGTGGGGTTGAGGACTTTGTTCTAAATGGAAGGAAAGTCACTGCCAACGCAGCAGGCAGGAAGAAATGAAAGCAAAATGGAAAGATAAAAATGGCACAAAGTCACAGCCAAGGGGAATATGAAGGGCAAGAAAAAATCAGAAGTCAAAGCTAAATGTAAAAAAAAAAAAAATCAGTGTTGGGATAAAGGCTGGAAGGAGGTGGATGAATGAAGATGGTTGCCCTTTTAAGGCAGTGGGAAGGTGGGTAATGTTCTTCTGACAAAATGTCCACATTTCCTTTAACTTTGTGTAAACAAACTCAATAAAAAGCCGAAGTTAAAGATAAATAACATTCAGATTCAGAAGTGGGGTTGGGGGCTATGGTTCCAGCCTTACAGACTCGCTCAGGGCAGGGCTTTGGTCGGGGCAGAGGAGGGGCTGCTGGGGTGGGGCCCGTGGCTCACGCGTGCAGGACCAGCAGGAAGGTGCAGGAGAGCAGCACGTGCAGCAGCCCCACGGCCCACTCCAGCCGGGCCTCCTGGCGGTGCACGTAGTCCCGAACCTCGGTGCTCACGTGCTCCCAGCTCGTGTTGAGGCCCAGCACTCCAGCCTGCTTCTCTTCCTGGTGGAGGGCACATGAGTAGACTCAGCCTGCGGCCACCTCGCCACACCCA